TTACAACATCAAGGGGTCCAATACCTTTTAAACCTAAAGCTACTGCATCACCTGCCTTGGCAGGGACCCCCTTGAGTACATTTACCACATCAAGGGGTCCGATAACTTTTATATTTCAATATTTTTTATTAAGAAACCAGCATATCATAACAGAGAACAAGATGGCAAACACAAAGAAAAAGAGGGGGGCCCACCCGCATGGTGGGACAAGATGTAGAATCAGAATCATAACACTTATCGGTATATAAATAAAAAAGAAATTGTCAGACAATAGCATTACAATTCACACAAAAAGTGTCATAGCCATCAGGACATACTAGTTTCATAGATCAATAAAACAATAATTAAACCAAAGTGAACCAGAAGTAACAGAGAGAAAAAAGAAACAAAAAATTTTGCAACGAATAGAGTAGGAAAAAAGATTAAGAGAGAGAGAAAAAAAAAAAAGAAAAGGAAAAATGAAACAAGAGGGGGGGGGGGGGGGTGGGGTCAGCTGCCAGACACTCACGATACAGTGATATAATCAATCCAAGGCTCCCAAGTCCTCTCAAATCTGGACACATCGTCAGTGACAATACTTGTCAGTTTATCATTAACCATTATCCAGTTTAGTTTTTGTTTCACTCTTTCCAGCGGAATCAAGGATTGTTTCCAACTTCTAGCTATGGTGATGCGAGCCGCCAGTATTATATATAAAATTAATTTAATCGATTTTTTGGGAATATCAGAAGGTAGTATATTGAACAAGGCCACTTCCGGCGATCTACGGATATTAATTCCTGTCACTGAGAAAAGAAAATTAAACATGCGAATCCAGAATCTACATACAACTGGACATTTCCACCAGACGTGGAACATGGTACCCTCTTGACCACAGCGTCGGAAACAGCCAGATGAAACGGAAGGATACATTATGGCTAGGCGAGTAGGCACCAAATACCAACGAAGTAGCGTTTTGTAGTTAGATTCAACAAGATCAGTGTTCATCGAAATCTTCGACAGGGCATGAGCTGCAGCCCGCCAGGTACCAAAATCTAATGAACTATTTAGATCCCGTTCCCAGAGAGTCATGTAAGATAATTTAGTGAAGGGATCAACCAACAAAGCATAAACAATGGACAAGCGACCTCGCATCATCCCACTTACCCCACAGGAGACCTCAAGAGGAGTAAGCGCACAAGGTTCTGTGAGTAGTCTAAGCTTGCTATCAATAAAAGAACGAAGTTGATTATAACGGAATATTTCCCCCGCGAGGCATCTTATAAGAAGTCACAAAGTACTGAGGAGACCGAGGGCGAACCCCATCCAAATAATCCCCAATACGTAACACACCCCTTATTAATCCACCATTGGAACCTCGCAAAAGAGAGACCCGGGGCAAACTCAGGATTGCCAAACACCGGGCCAACGGGTATGCGGAGAGAAGAAAGGTTTACGAGCTCACCATCTATCCCATACTGACAATGAATAGGATAGAGTGGGGCACAAAATAGGAGGGCGCAATCTGCTGGGAAGCCACATGAGAGTACCAATAGCATATGGACGGCACGAAAGAGCCTCAATCCCAACCCATTGGGGAACATATCCCCTGGCCGTAGTACAAGATAGCTGTGCTATTTGGGCCGCCTGAAAGTATGCAAAAAGATTAGGGAGTCCCAAACCACCATGCCTCTTCAAAGAAATATAAAGTAGATTTGTTCAGCCTAGGGCGCTTTCCCCTCCACACACAAATCTGGAGACTGCTGCCTGTAGCAAGACCAGTTCGCGTTTGGGGATCATAATTGGTAACGTCCTGAAATAGTACAATAATCTTGGTAGGAAGGTCATTTTAATAGAATTAATTCTACCAAACCAGGAAAGTGAGAGATCCTGCCAGCCTAGTAAGTCATTTTTAAAAGTCGTTTGAAAAGCGGGAGATAGTTGGCCTTGTATAACGTCGATAAAGATTTCGTGAGAAGAATCCCTAAGTAGAGGAGAGAACCAGAGGCCCACTTAATATCAAAATTTTTCCGGCAGTAGCGAACCTCTGAATCAGGTAATGAGATATTTAAGGCAACGGTTTTAGATGAGTTAAGCGTAAGACCGGAGGCCTCCGAAAACCGATGAAACAGGTGGAAGAGACCAGGTAGGGACGCTCGAGGATTAGATATGTACATAAGAACATCGTCGGCAAAAAGGGCGCATTTATGAACCCGTTGACCACAGGTAACACCCAAGATAGTGGAATCAGCGCGAATAGCAATCGCAAGAGGTTCCATCGCCAACGCAAAAAGGAACGGAGAAAGAGGACATCCCTGTCTAGTTCCTCGTTCTATCGAAAAAGGGACTGATTTATGTCCACGAATGGAAACTTGAGCTGACGGAGTAGAATAGAGGGCCCGCAACAGCGTCGTAAAATAAGGGCCAAACCCATACCTGTCCAACGTTCTAAACAAATAGTCCCAGGATAGACTGTCGAATGCCTTCTGAATATCCAGTGACAGTAGTAGAATTTCCCTCTGCGACGATCCATCCCAATTGGACTGCACAGCAGACAGCAAAGCTATAGTCCGTGTCAGGGATCCCGGCCGCTCAGCGTCGCACGCATGCGCAGATCGCCGATTCTTCCTGGCCGGCGAATACAGAGATCGCGGCGGCGGCCGCGCATGCGCAGTAGCAATCGCGGCCGCACCAATGGAAACACAGGGCGCCCTATTTAAATCTGCCCTGTGCATTTCCAAAGTGCCGCAAGGTCTTGTTCCTGTTCCTGTGTTCCTGCTAGTACGTTTCCTTGTTGCCAAACTCTGCCTCGTTCCTGACCATCCCTCTCCTGCCCCAACCCTCTGTACCACGCTGCCCACACCTGCCCACTACTGCTGAACCTGGCTTGTGACCCCAACCATTCTCCGCTTGCTCCCCCTGTACCACGCTGCCCGCACGATACCGACCCGGCTAGTCTGTCCTCGCTCACTCCTAGCAGTCGTCCATCCATCCCGCTCGGATCGGGATCTGTCATCCCATCCATCCCGCTCGGATCGGGGTCTGTCATCCCCTTCACAGCAGACTCGTCCCGGGCACATACCCTCAGCGGGACCCCTCTGCCACCGCCGGGGGTGCCCAGGGACGCGACCTGGTTCCAGTCTTGCACCAAGTCCATCCCCACCATCAGGGGCTCTGGTGAAAAGGCAGACTGGGACTTAGACTCCGCGTCCTGGGAAACCCCGTGCTGTAGACCACTAGAGATCCCGTTGGGCGGAGCCTGACAGTACCTTGCGGCCATGACTGAGTCTGGAAGGGGAACTTCCCCCCTGGATGATCTGTGCCGACACATTGCCACCCTCACAGAGGGGGTTAGGCTCCTCCAGGAGGGCTATACAGAATTAAGTGACCATATGCAGACCTTAGCCACCCCTACCGGGCAGGCTAAAGAGCGCCCTGGGGAAACACTAGTTTTGACATCTGCACCAGAGCCCCGAGTTCCCTTACCGGAACATTTTTTCGGGGATCGAGGTAGATTCAGGAGGTTTCGTATTTCCTGCCAGTTATACTTCGACCTCCAGCCTCGAACGTTCTCATCAGAAACCATAAGGGTCGGGTTCATTATTTCTTTATTACAAGAGGAACCCCATGCCTGGGCCCACCGACTACTAGAGAACCGAGACCCTCAGTTAGGTACAGTAACAGCATTTTTTAAAGCAATGGCGCTCTTATATGACGACCCAGATACGGCCGCGACGGCCGAAATGTCCCTACATACCCTAAGGCAAGGTAATCGGGCAGTGGAGGAATACGCCGCCGAATTCAGGCGTTGGGGTGGTGACACCAAATGGAATGAGGCGACCCTGTCTCACCAATTTCGCATGGGGTTAACCGAACCACTGAAGGACGAGCTGGCCCGAGTTGACATGCCCGATACTCTTGAGGGCCTAATAACCTTATCTATCCAGATTGACCGCCGGTTGCGGGAACGTAGGAGGGAAAGGTCCAACCAAGAGCAGAGATCAGCCAGGCGACTTCCAGTCCAGACCAAGTCCCCACGGGTCAACCGGAACCAGGAATTCACGGATACGTCAACTCTCAGGTCAGCAGGAGGGGTTCGGTCTCCACTAACGTCTGAGGAGCGCCAGAGGCGTCAGGTAAACCGGCTTTGTTTTTATTGTGGGGGCGATTTTGTCGCAGAGGAAGGGCATTAAAGAGCTCATGCACCCGGTGGCCTTTTTCTCTAGAAAACTGACTTCCGCAGAAAGGAATTACGATATTGGGGACCGGGAGCTTCTAGCAATCAAGGTGGCACTAGAGCAGGCATGTCCAAAGTCCGGCCCGCGGGCCAATTGCGGCCCGCGTTCCGGACTGAAACGGCCCCACAGGTGAGCTACCCAAATATATAACTTACGGCCCCCCGGTAGTGATTCCCTGAAAGCTACTGAGGACTCCAGCTATCTCTTGACATCATCAGCTGGCGCAGGAAGGAGAGCCCAAATCTCGGGACGTCCGAGATCTCGTGAGATTTGGGCTTTCCTTCTCTGTGTGCCGGCTGATGACGTCAAATTCCCGCTCGACAGATCCCTGGAGTCCTCAGTGGCGTTCGCAGAATCACTAGTGGAGGGCCGTAAGTTATATATTGGGCAGCTCATCTGTGGGGTCCGGAACGTGGGCCGAGGGATCCCCGGTGGTGCGCAGGGAATTACTACTGGGGCTACCATTTACCATCGTATTTTTTCGCTCCATAAGACACACTTTTTTTCCCCCCAAAAAAGGGGGGGAAATGTCAGTGCGTCTTATGGAGCGAATATAAAGCGGCCGGTCCGGTATTTCTGCCGCCACCATGTCAGAATACCGGGCGGGCCGCCGCTCAGCTGTTGTCTCCTGCAGGGCCTTACCTGTTCCTCGCTCCAGCGCTGCGCAGTCTTCCCGCGCTGGCTTCTGTGACAGCCGGGTGCCCACTGCGCATGCGCTTCGCTTTGTGAATGGTCATCGCAGTCTCTGGTCATCTGTACTGTGTCCGCAGTCTCTGGTCATCTCCTGTACTGTGTCCGCAGTCTCTGGTCATCTCCTGTACTGTGTCCGCAGTCCCTGGTCATCTCCTGTACTGTGTCCGCAGTCTCTGGTCATCTCCTGTACTGTGTCCGCAGTCTCTGGTCATCTCCTGTACTGTGTCCGCAGTCTCTGGTCATCTCCTGTACTGTGTCCGCAGTCTCTGGTCATCTCCTGTACTGTGTCCGCAATCTCTGGCCATCTCCTGTACTGTGTCCGCAGTCTCTGGCCATCTCCTGTACTGTGTCCGCAGTCTCTGGCCATCTCCTGTACTGTGTCCGCAGTCTCTGGCCATCTCCTGTACTGTGTCCGCAGTCTCTGGCCATCTCCTGTACTGTGTCCGCAGTCTCTGGCCATCTCCTGTACTGTGTCCGCAGTCTCTGGCCATCTCCTGTACTGTGTCCGCAGTCTCTGGCCATCTCCTGTACTGTGTCCGCAGTCTCTGGCCATCTCCTGTACTGTGTCCGCAGTCTCTGGCCATCTCCTGTACTGTGTCCGCAGTCTCTGGCCATCTCCTGTACTATGTCCGCAGTCTCTGGCCATCTCCTGTACTATGTCCGCAGTCTCTGGCCATCTCCTGTACTATGTCCGCAGTCTCTGACCAACTCCTGTACTATGTCCGCAGTCTCTGACCATCTCCTGTACTATGTCTGCAGTCTCGGACCATCTCCTGTACTATGTCCACAGTCTCTGACCATCTCCTGTACTATGTCCGCAGTCTCTGGCCATCTCCTGTACTATATCCGCAGTCTCTGGTCATCCCCTGTACTGTGTCCTCAGTCTCTGGTCATCTCCTGTACTATGTCCGCAGTCTCTGGCCATCTCCTGTACTATATCCGCAGTCTCTGGTCATCCCCTGTACTGTGTCCTCAGTCTCTGGTCATCTCCTGTACTGTGTCCGCAGTCTCTGGTCATCTCCTGTACTATGTCTGCAGTCCATTGGTTCAGAATTTTTTTTCCTGTTTTTCGCCTCTAAAACCTAGGTGCGTCTTATGGTCAGGTGCGTCTTATGGAGCGAAAAATACGGTATCAATTTGGGCTATAATGGATTGGTGCTCAGGATCGCTTGACGTCATCAGACAGTGCAAGGAGAAACAAAGCCCAAATCTCGCGACCTCTGAGATCTCGCGAGATTTGGGCTTTCCTTCTCCCTGTGCTGGCAGAGTGATTTAACACCTGTTTAGATTTGTCATCCAAGTCACAAAATGAAAAGTATGCCGTTTTCAATAAACGTTTGCATAAAATAGTTCATTTGCATTTAATTTTAATGGTTCATCAGAATGTCGGGCAAAATGGTCGGCCCTCGCACATGTTCACTTCATCAAATCTGGCACTCTTCCAAAAAAGTTTGGACACCCCTGCACTAGAGGAATGGAGGTATTTATTAGAAGGGGCGGTACACCCAATATTGATATTCACAGATCACAAAAACCTGGAATATTTGAGGACAGCAAAGCGCTTGAGACCACGTCAGGCTAGGTGGGCACTTTTTTTTTCACGATTTGCTTTTCACATTACCTATAGACCAGGATCAAAGAATACTAAGCCCGACGCGCTTTCCCATATGTTCGGGGACCCTGAAGAGACGCCCCGACCTGACACAATCTTGTCCTCAGGGAACTTTTTGATCCTACAATCTGAGCTCCGCTCCAAACTGCAGACCGCATCCATAGGCATGCCAGGCACACCCGGTATTTCCTTAGTGAATCGGGAGGGGCTTCTTTGGAAAGAAGGCCAGATTGTAGTTCCCGAGGAGACCCTTACTTTGGTACTTGGATACTGCCATGACCACCCGTTAGCGGGACATTTTGGAATACGCAAGACCCTGGAACTATTGCAACGCACCTTTTGGTGGCCCACTATGGCCAGGGATTGCGAGAAATATGTTAAGACTTGCACCGTGTGCCAGAGGAATAAAACTACCAGAAACAAGGCCTGGGGCCTATTACGCCCACTACCAATACCTGACAGACCTTGGAGCATGATCTCCGTTGACTTTATTGTAGAGCTTCCACCCTCCCAGGAACACACAGCAATCTTTGTGATTGTAGACCGGTTATCCAAGATAGCTCATTTTGTACCCTTAAAGGACACACCGACAGCCCATGAGACCGCACAGGTTTTTATCAGGGAGGTGGTGAGACTCCACGGAATTCCCAAGGATATTGTGTCAGATAGGGGGGTTCAGTTTACGTCTAGATTTTGGAAAGCTCTATGTGAGACGCTTGGAATTAAACTGTCATTGTCCTCTGCATATTACCCACAAACAAATGGCCAGACAGAACGAACGAATCAGACACTTGAGCAGTACCTCAGATGCTACACTACCTTCCTCCAAGACGACTGGTTGACCCTCCTGCCGCTAGCGGAGTTCGCCTATAATAACGCGAGTCATTCTGCTACAGGCCAGGCTCCTTTTTTCGCAAATTATGGGTTCCACCCCACTTTTTTACCGGATTTGATTCCGGAAGTCACGGTCCCGGCCACGCAGGACATGCTGGGCTTTTTATCCTCTAATAGCAAATTGCTCCAAGAGGCGATGGCAAAGGCCCAGGAGAGCAATAAGAGGGCTTTTGATAAAAAAGAAGAGGGGAGTTGAGTTTGCGGCCGGAGGACCAGGTTTGGTTGTCCACCACAAATTTAAAGATGTCCTGCCCATCGAAGAAATTGGCTCCCAAATTCCTGGGCCCGTTTCGGGTCAAACGCAGGATCAATGAGGTAGCATACGAGCTTGCACTGCCTGAATCTATGAAGATTCATCCGGTCTTCCATGTATCTCTACTGAAACCAGCAACTGCAGACCCCTTCCCGGATCGAAGGTCTAAACCACCGGAGGCAGTAAACGTGGATGGGGAGGAGGAATTTGAAGTTGAGGCTATCCTGGATTGTAGGAAAAGGGGAGGCCAGACTCAGTTTCTGGTGAAATGGAAGGGACCCTCGGTACCACGCTGCCCGCTACCTGCTGAACCTGGCTTGTGACCCCGACCATTCTCCGCTTGCTCCCCCTGTACCACGCTGCCCGCGCGATACCGACCCGGCTAGTCTGACCTCGCTCACTCCTAGCAGTCGTCAATCCATCCCGCTCGGATCGGGATCTGTCATCCCATCCATCCCGCTCGGATCGGGGTCTGTCATCCCCTTCACAGCAGACTCATCCCGGGCACATACCCTCAGCGGGACCCCTCTGCCACCGCCGGGGGTGCCCAGGGACGCGACCTGGTTCCAGTCTTGCACCAAGTACATCCCCACCATCAGGGGCTCTGGTGAAAAGGCAGACTGGGACTTAGACTCCGCGTCCTGGGAAACCCCGTGCTGTGGACCACTAGAGATCCCGTTGGGCGGAGCCTGACAGTCTGCCTAATTTGGTCCGATGTTTGTCGACCACTTATGAATCCTGATTGGTCATCATGGATGTATAAGGCCAAAAGATTATGGAGCCGTAGAGCCAGGATTTTAGTAAGAATCTTTAAATCACAATTAATCAGAGAAATAGGCCGGTAATTAGAGACCATAGCTGCATCCTTGAAAGGTTTGGGAATGACGCTAATGAATGCCTTATTTTCATCTTGGGGTACCACTCCCCCCTCCCGCAAATAATTAAAATACAGGGCCATATGGGGTATCAGAATGTCAGGAAAAACTTTATAATAATTATTGGGAAGACTATCCGGTCCCGGGGCCTTATGAGAGGCAAGGGATTTCACTGCATTCCCAACTTCTTCACAGGAAATAGGTCGTTCCATTTGCTCCCTATGGGCCTCCTGGAGGGGGGTAAGTGAAATAGACTCCAAAAAAGCATCCAGAGAGGAAGAAGAACAACCCCCTTTGGGCAAACTATAAAGTTGAGAATAAAAAGAATGAAATTTGTGGAGGATCTTACCAGGGTCCTGGGATAACAAACCATTGTCCAGTCTAAGCTTGGGGAGGGCCGTCTGGGAATGTCTAGGTGTCAGCTTACGTGCTAACAGGGTGCCAGGCCTATCCCTTCAAGTAAAAAATTTATGATTAGACCAACGAAGTTGTTTATCCGCAGTGGTAGTAAGACACAAGTTAAGTTCCAGTCGGGCCTGGTCAAGTTTAAGTAACAAATCAGAACGGGGATTTTGCTTATGTTGAGTAGCCAGGTCAGTGTATGACCGAGTTTTAGTAGCAAGTAGGTCATTTCGGGCTTTTTTTAAACGAGAAGAGAGTTGAATAATATATCCCCTGACTGATGCCTTATGAGCAGCCCAATTAATTGCCGGGTTTGTGTCCTCTGCTTTATTAAAGTCAAAAAATAGTTGGAGGTGTGAGGAGATTTCCCGACAATGAGAGGGATTACCCAGAATAGAGTCATTAAGATGCCAATGAAAAGCCGTCTTACCAGGAGTCCCAGACGACAAGGTGATAGAAACTGGGTCGTGGTCAGACCAGGGCGTGGAAAAGATTTTAGCAGTAACCAGTTTGGGAAGTGAATATGTATGAAGAAAAATATGATCAATGCGAGAATAACTATTATGAGCCCTGGAGTAGTGGGAGTAAGTAGTCTCGAGAAGTAGAATTAGCCTCCCTCCATGCATCAATGAAGTCATAGCGATAGAAAAGTTGAGCCAATTTACGGCTCCGTCTAGAAGGAGGCTGAAGTGTGGTGGTTTGGGAACGATTCAAAGTCTGGTCCAACGCTAGGTTAGAGTCACCAGCTAGAATAACCCGATAACTTTTAAACCTAAATCTACTGCATCACCTGCCTTGGAAGGGACCCCCTTGAGTACATTTACAACATCAAAGGGTTCGATACCTTTTAAACCTAAAGCTACTGCATCACCTGCCTTGGCAGGGACCCCCTTGAGTACATTTATCACATCAAGGGGTTCGATACCTTTTAAACCTAAATCTACTGCATCACCTGCCTTGGCAGGGACCCCCTTGAGTACATTTACAACATCAAAGCGTCCGATACCTTTTAAACCTAAAGCTACTGCATCACCTGCCTTGGCAGGGACCCCCTTGAGTACATTTACAACATCAAGGGGTTCGATACCTTTTAAACCTAAATCTACTGCATCACCTGCCTTGGCAGGGACCCCCTTGAGTACATTTACCACATCAAGGGGTTCGATACCTTTTAAACCTAAATCTACTGCATCACCTGCCTTGGCAGGGACCCCCTTGAGTACATTTACAACATCAAGGGGTTGATACCTTTTAAACATAAAGCTACTGCATCACCTGCCTTGGCAGGGACCCCCTTGAGTACATTTACAACATCAAGGGGTTCGATACCTTTTAAACCTAAAGCTACTGCATCACCTGCCTTGGCAGGGACCCCCTTGAGTACATTTACAACATCAAGGGTTCGATACCTTTTAAACCTAAAGCTACTGCATCACCTGCCTTGGCAGGGACCCCCTTGAGTACATTTACAACATCAAGGGGTTCGATACCTTTAAACTTACTATCCCACGATTCTGCCAACCCTGCACCTGACAATTCCTTTGCTAAAATATCATATGGAGCCTCGGTCCAGCCGAGAATCTCCACTTTAACCACTTCCAGACCGGGCACTTTTACCCCCTTCCTGACCAGGGCAATTTTCAGCTTTTAGCGTTATCACACTTTGAATGACAATTGCGCAGTCATGCAACACTGTACCCAAATTACTTTTTTACCATTTTTTTGAGACAGATAAAGCTTTATTTTGGTGGTATTTATTCACCACTGGGATTTGTATTTTTTTTGCTATGTAAATGAAATGTCCAAAAATTTTGAAAAAAAAAAAGTGTTTTTTTTTTTTATAAAATTTTGCAAATAAATAATATTTCATCATAAATCTTAGCCAAAATTTATTCCGTTATCTTTTTAGTAAAAAAAAAAAAATCCAAATTAGTTTATAACCAAAAAATTATAATTTTTAAACATTTTTTTTAAATTTTTTATATTA